CCCAAATGCCTGGGTATCTGGGAAATTTCCCAAATGCCTAGGTTTTTGGGAAATTTCCTATTTAGAAAAAAATGTAAATGCTGTCGTGTCATGCACTTATACAGGAGTTTAACCACAACTCTTAGTTTAACCGGCGCACGAAAGAAATTTGCGGTTCAGCTTACTTCTCGCTATTTATAAAATCCTGTCACTAATATTTCTCTTTTTGTTTAGGCCAGTGTGAAGAACTTCCAGATTATTCATGAGTCCGACCTTGAATATATTATCATGCAGTTTGGTAGAGTTGCTGAGGATATATTCACAATGGATTACAGGTATAGAAACTTTTAACATTCGTTTTATATGGGATCAACATGGATTACAGGTATATAAACTGTTGACATTCGTTTTATATGGGATCAACATGGATTACAGGTATAGAAACTGTTGACATTCGTTTTATATGGGATCAACATGGATTACAGGTATAGAAACTGTTGACATTCGTTTTATATAGGATCAACATGGATTACAGGTATATAAACTTTTAATATTCGTTTTATATGGGATCAACATGGATTACAGGTATATAAACTTTTAACATTCGTTTTATATAGGATCAACATGGATTACAGGTATATAAACATTTAACATTCGTTTAATATGGGATCAACATGGATTACAGGTATATAAACATTGAACAAACATTCTTTATGGGATTAACAATGAATAACAGGTATATAAATATTGAACAAACATTCTTTATGGGATTAACAATGAATAGCAGGTATATAAACATTGAACAAACATTCTTTATGGGATTAACACTGAATTACAGGTATATAAGCATTGTACAAACATTCTTCATGAGATTAACAATGGAATACAGGTATATAAACATTGAACAAACATTCTTTATGGGATTAACAATGGAATACAGGTATATAAACAGCAAACAAACGCTCTTTATGGGATTAACAATGGAATACAGGTATATTAACAGTAAACAAACGCTCTTTATGGGATTAACAATGGAATACAGGTATATTAACAGTAAACAAACGTTCTTTATGGGATTAACAATGGAATACAGGTATATAAACAGCAAACAAACGTTCTTTATGGGATTAACAATGGAATACAGGTATATTAACAGTAAACAACCGTTCTTTGTGGGATTAACAATGAATACAGTTATATAAACATTTAACAAACGTTCTTTATGGGATTAACGATGGAATACAGGTATATAAACAGTAAACAAACGTTCTTCATGGGGTTAACATTAGAATACAGTTATATACACATTTAACAAACTTTCTTTATGGGGTTAACAATGGAATACAGGTATATAAACAGAAACAAACGTTCTTTATGGGATAAACAAAAGCTTTGATTTTTGCTTTCAAGAATCGATTTTTAAAAATTATTTGATAACCCGGAAGAACAACGTAAAAACAAAAATTTCTCTTTGAACGAATTGCAATTATAAAAATAAAAAAAGGATAATTTTAAATAATTTTTACTAGGTATCCTATGTGTGCACTGCAGGCCTTTGGAGTTGCTTTATCAAGCTTTGACAGCAAACTAGCCTGCGAATAATATTGAACTTATCTTGTAAAAAAAATTATTTTAAATTTTGAAGAAACTTTAGTTGAGCACAAATGTACCTTGTCGTATCCTTTCGCACTAATTCATAAACTAAAATAAACATATCATATAGATTCTCAACTTAAACAAATGTGCAATTTTGTCATTATATATATTCACAAATGCTAATGTTTCTACATTTGAAATCAGAATCAGAAATTCTCCTAAACATAAAAATGTTCTGCCCCCAACAAGTACTTGTGATATTAGCTTATGTAAAATGTTTTAAACGAATCTCCTAAAGAAACTGATGACTCTTCTCATACTCTAATTGTCTAATCAAAATATCTTAACAACATGGATCTAAATCAGATGAATAGCTAGAATAAAACATTTGCGTGCAAAGTGCGGAATTTGTTCGTATCTTTCAATGTTTATATTTTCTCAAACACACGTGCATAACGGAAATGTTTTCATTCCGATGGAAACCCTTATGTCGGTTCAAGACTAAAACCAGTATTTCAACTTAGAATATATAGTCTACATTAGTGCATATTTTAACTTAGAATATATAGTCTAAATTAGTGCATATTTTAACTTAGAATATATAGTCTAAATTAGTGCATATTTCAACTTAGAATATATAGTCTAAATAAGTGCATATTTCAACTTAGATTATATAGTTTAAATTAGTGCATATTTCAACTTAGATTATATAGTTTAAATTAGTGCATATTTCAACTACTTAATTCGCTTTTAATTAGATTTTGTCCCCGGTGTCCTAGATCTAATATTTATATTAAACATCTAGATCAATTTGTCAATGTTTTGGATATTAAAGGTTTTTACCTTCAAGTTGCAAAGATATAGGGATTTGAAAACCAGAGTTTGAAGGACCCGTTTCATTTGTTTATCTTAACTAGTTTATTACGAGAATCACGCAGACGTAAAAAAATGTTACCAATCTTTTCTGATAACACTTATGTTAAGGTCACGTTGAACACATAGTAACAAATCCTCCTTTTATTAATGAAAATTATGTTTAACCATTGAAAATTACTTTTAAATAATATATTATTTTAAAGTAATGTATAAACAGAGTTTTTTAAACCACTCATGCATAACTAAAATGCTTACAGAATGGTGTTAAATATACTTTAAAAATGTCTGATGTAAAACTTAAAAGAATTGAAATTCTCAATCGAAATTAAGTCTTTTGTGATTAAAAATGCCATTTGTCAGTAATAAAATTGAAAGTGTTAATCATTTAAATTTAGAATTTTTGCATTTATGGCCTTAAAGTGTATTAAAAAATAAAATAAAAAACTCAAATTCAAATTTTCTTAACTCTTTAATTTTTCTTTAGTAAAATAATTTCTTCTCTCTTTTTAAAGAGGGGCAGTTCCTTTTCACAACTCTACCATTTAAACCGAAATCTGATAAATAATATGGAAGATAATGTCGTTTTTCTAGCTTGAAAATATTTAATTCTGATAATTTCTCCACGTGGTTTGAAGAAAAATAATGCTTACCTGATCATATAACGCTTTTAAGAGATACCAACGTGATTTGGATAAACAATAGAAAGTCTCTTAAAATTTTGGTTTCGCCTTTTTTTGTAGACTATAAAAATATAATCAAAACATAATAATTGTTTACTTCTTCGTTCTCTAGGAAATTTCCAAAGTCTTGAGCATGGAGCATTATCTATTTTCAAAGCAGTTTTAGAAAAACAGTACTTTGTAAGCTAACCATAGTGCAACTTCTACGATAAGGAAATTATTGAAAAGGACGACAAGAAACTAGCTTGAAATATTAAGATATGAAAATATTTTGTTTTCTTTCTCAAATATAGACATGGGCAATTTCCTAGAGAACGATTTGCCCCTCCCAGCAATTTTGTACATGGATCCCAGATATTTACAACGGATACAATTGGTCATGTGGCCGTAGCGCCTGGCCCCCTATACTTGTCCTAGCCGGGGCGCTCGAACATCTACAAACATAGTTCACAATATACTCGATCGTGATCAGGCACTAATTCCAAACATCATGGGTGCACAATATTAGAAAATTTCAAGGGTCAGCGTGATAACTTGATTCTAAAAGTCTTCTTACTATTTCAAAGTTCTCTGGTTATCACTGCAAGGACAAAACTCAACCTCATCTAAAGATGGACAATTATTTACCAATAAAGTTTGTCGTTACTATTATTATTATTATTAATGATTACTGCAAATCAAATAATTACAAGTAAAGTGTGAAATTTATCAAAAAACTTATTTTTCGGAAAAAAAATGTTTTGTTCAATTTGTAACGTAAACATAATCAATAAGTACAGTATATGTTTAAAGATAAAACATAAATTAAATTATCGCAGTTTTCCAAAAGTGAACCGATTTCTGAGGCCGTTCTCTGCATCATAATGTTTAAACAGTGGTCGGGAAGTTTACGTACTTTGGGAGACGTATAGTTTGGCCGCTAGATGTCTCACGCAAAATTCTGATCTGGTTTGTCAGCTGTTGACGTACTTTTAAAACCGGTTGTAAATATATTTTAAATAAAAAGGTCACTGACTACTGAGTACACTCTTCTAAACTTTTCACAACTCAATTAATTTAATTGTTTACCTGCAGGTATGTCGGACCAAGTGACAATACATTTTGATAAATCAGCTGCGTCGATCCTTTCAATTTGATTAATAATTGTGGATGACTTTTTGTCGCAGATTAAACATCTTGTTATAATATTACTTTTTAGTCAGTGACTAAAAATCCGTTATTTAAGAAAGTAACGGATTTTTAATCACTGAATTTTTTGTCGTTAAATTTGCTACTTTACTTATATATGAGACAATTCTTCGTCAAATTTACGAACTATTTGTCTCTTTTATATTTTCAGATTTTTAATACGTAAAAGGGACAAAAAGTCTGTAACATAAAGGAAATTAATATTATTTGTCGCAGACAATTAACATTTTGGTCTTATATGATACAGGAAGGAGAGGAGATACAGTGAATGATCGAAATCTAACCAATTGTAGCTATGATCTCAAAGCATAGTCAGAGTCAAAGCAAGTTAGCTCGATTAAGGAATTGGACTAATATCATATGGAACACTCTGTAGAAAACTGGTTTCAGCGTTTCTGAGTTCACAGAGTTCAGTTCATACAACAGCTGAGTGTAGCATGAATAGACAGTGGCGCTGTATCTGTTTTCTCTAAAATTGCACAATCTAGCATATGTTTTCTCTAAGATTGTACAATCTAGGATCTGTTTTCTGTTAGATAGCACAATCTAGTATTTGTTTTCTCTAATATTGTACAATCTAGTATCTGTTTTCTCTAAGATTGCACAATCTAGTATCTGTTTTCTCTAAGATTGCACAATCTAGCATCTGTTTTCTGTAATATTGTACAATCTAGTATCTGTTTTCTCTAAGATTGCACACAATACAGTATCTGTTTTCTCTAAATTTGTACAATCTAGTATCTGTTTCCTTTCAGATTGCAGAATCTAGTATCTGTTTTCTCTAAGATTACACAGTCTAGTATCTGTTTTCTCTAAGATTGCACAATCTAATATCTGTTTTCGCCCGCTTTTAGTGAATTGCTAAGAGTTGGGTTAGGGGATAAAGTACAATAAAGAACTTGTTTTCCCTTAACCCCATTGTGTAACATGTATACAGAAAACATAACCCATGTGTTTCTAATGTAATTTAATAAAAAGGATTGTTGAGTTTTTGCATCAGATATATATATATGTGTATCTAAAATAAACATTCTACATGGTTACATGGTTTTTCTCTCAGTACGTATATATATTTATGAATAATATTGTATACATATAATTTATATATAATAGTATATAAATGTATAAATTATATAGCAGGATAGTAGTCAACAACATTTCAAAACCAGATACATGATATAGGTTCATATTTGACATTTATTGAATACGATCAAAACCAGATACATAATATGGGTTCATATTTGACATTTATTAAATACGATCAAAACCAGATACATAATATCGGTTCATATTTGACATTTAATGAATACGATCAAAACCAGATACATAATATTGGTTCATATTTGACATTTATTGAGTACGATCAAAACCAGATACATATTGTGGGTTCATATTTGACATTTATTGAATACGATTAAAACCAGATACATAATATGGGTTCATATTTGACATTTATTGAATACGATTAAACGCGACAAACTATAGAGTTAAATATTAATATAAAATCTCTGGGCCGGTCTTTTTAGATCTATCTGGATTCTGGAAGATTTTTTTGGTATTAATTATCTTTTATGACAATTGTATTCTCCCACTCGAAGCAGCAATTCAAACTAACCTATAAAAAAAATCCTCACCCAAACATTACCTCAAATTACAAACTATATAATTATTTATTCTTAACAGAGAAGTACAAAAGTAAGAACCTGGAAGGAATACTGGAGCTTCAAAATAAAACCCCGGTCTGGAACGATGAAACTCAAAGTTATGTTCTTAATTTCCATGGCAGAGTGACTCAGGTGCGTATATTTTACTCCACGGTACGTTTACTTAATGTCGTCGTCATATATCAATATAATGAAGACGACTTTCTAGCACTATTCACAAAAATGTTACTCTTTGATTAAAATATTCTGGGTCCAAGTTTACAGTGTTTAGCCAAAGTTTTTGTACTCCTATTTTTTATCTAGATTTAATAAATAGTGGGATCCGGTTGAAGCACTTATAGAGGGAGTGACAGCAATTATCAAAAATGTCAAAAATAGGAATTTCCCAAATGCTTGGGTATCTGGGAAATTTCCCAAATGCCTAGGTATCTGGGAAATTTCTCAAATGCCTGGGTATCTGGGAAATTTCACCCCCTATCTAACATTTTCTTTTATTTCTGATGAAAATTTTGTTGCAGGGGTCTACAATCAAGTGCAGGATTACAAGAGACAGAAAGGGAATGGATAGAGGTAACATTTGAAGAATTAAATCTTTTCTTAATCTGAACCCAAGGTTATAAGGTTGCTGACTCTCAATGCGCTACAATCATCGGAAAATGTCGTGTTCTTAGCATAAATATAGATAAAATATGACGTTACAGATTATAGTGACGTCATATGTGGATTCTATCTATCTATGCTAATGCTGGAAAATTAAGCACACTAATTGTAAAGGAATTGAGTTTTTGCCACAAACTTAAATTTTCTAATTCCTAAATCTTTGCAAAATGATGAAGTAAGCCTTTGATATTTCAAACTATGAATTCTGTTAGACAAAATAATCTAAGTTTAAAATATCATAAGGTTTACACTATCAGGTTGAAAAGATGTAGGGATTTGAAAATCTGAGTTTGTGACAAAAACTCAGTTCCTTTTTTTATTTGTTCTATATGACACACTTTTTATTTCAAAAAATAATTTTCATGATGTTTAGAGGTCTTGTTAAAGTTTCAGGGTTGGGACCAAATTAAGGTTCAGATTTGTTCTCGATCTTAATTTTAATTATCGGCGTTGTTGGAAGTTATTTAAAAAATCATTAACGGAGCTAGCAATTAAACTTTCTGTTTTTCGCCCTTTTAATATTTTTTATCTTTTTTTAATTAATGTTATATTTTTTAAGGTTTATATCCTACCTATTTTCTACATATGGAAAGGGAAGATGGAAGGTAATTTTTTTCAACAACTAATGAATATGCATTACACGTAACTAAAAAATTATTATATTTACCAGGTTTAATCTTTTTAATCTTTTTAAAAAATAGATCAATAGATTATAAAAACGTAAGGTCTCATCCATTCTTGTATATTTTCACGTAGATAGAGACATAGATAAAAATAGATACATATGTCACTGTGATCTTACCAGGCTATATTTGTTGCACAAAACGTGTTGGGTCGACTCTAAACTGAGACGCCTGACAGGACAGGACCTGGACAGTACGACGGACTGCATTATACAGTACGTGTTGTACCGACACGGATCATGCTACTTTTAGACTGGGATGGTGTGGATAGATGAATATGTTTATTTACAAAATATTTTCAGGAAAGTATTCCTGTTAGCTGGACGGAAACGAAAGAAGTCAGCTACCTCTAATTACCTTATTTCTACAGGTTTAAATATATTTTTATTAACAAAATCAATGCGAGGCAAAGATAAAATTATTATTCCTAATTTTTATCTGAAATCGCCATAATGTTCATGACTTGGTAAACAAAAGTGTAAACCCAGTGTAGGAGCATGTGATAAAAAATCAGCAATTCTGTTTACTATGATTCCAAGAAAATGTATATACATTTATTTATAAATTTGACCATGTATGATACTGGAATATGCTGTTTGCACATATTTCTCAATGCATGAAAATCAAGCCAGTTTTTTCTTATTTTGGAGTTTTTCTAAGACAAAATAGTTTCGCGTTTTGTTAAGTACATTTGAATATTTTTAGCCTGCAAAATACTGGTGGGAATCAATGTAAATCCTGTCCGTTAAAGCAAATATTTATTTGAAATACTAATTTAATAAAACCCTAAATACCAACGATTTTTAAATTTCAGACCCCACCGACTTGTCTCGAGGTGGAGACAGTTTTATTGGTAAACTTAGGTATAAAATATTTGACAAACATTACCGACCTATGATTTACCCAACAGAGGGAGGTTAAGTTACATTTTATATATAACAAAATCATAGACAGGACATTTCATTAAAGAAAAGACAGATAATTTCATTAACAGAAAAGCGTTTTTTTTTACAGAGACACTTTAAGATTGATAAAAAATGTGTCACAATTTTTGAAAATGAGATTAGTTTGTTTTGCAATATGTGATGTCTTAACCATAACAAGATATCAACAAGACATATATGCTATATTAGTTAAAAGCAAAAATAGAAATAATGTGTAAAGTAAAAATAAGAGAAATAACAGGGTATGATTTAATAGATAAGATTACTTGGAAGAAGAAATTTTTTGTGAAATGTCTTTGGCATGTCTTCTATGAAATGTCTTATCTATGAAATGTTGTCTGTGAAATGTCCTATTTATTAAATGTCTCTCTATGAAATGTCCCAACACCTAAAAAATTATATATTCAACAAGATTCAAGCTTGAACTTGATGTCTTTTATCTACTATCTAGAAATAGAACGTTTTTATAATAATAGTTAAAATTAGATTAAAATTGAAGATATTTTTGTTAAACATAACCACCCCCCTCCCTTCAGTTACGGTCCTGATATGGTTATACAAGGCTTATTTCCATGTAAATAAATACTTCCCTCACATAAATCAATACATTTGAAATTAAATTCTGATATTTTATGATTTAGATCAAATATGCTTGGAACACAGTTTTCTATTTTTGACGGAGGAGAAACATCAAATCGACCTAGAATACTCTCACAAGACAAGTTAGTAAATAGACCTAGAATACTCTCACAAGACAAGTTAGTATACTCTGAAGTAACTTCAAGTCTTTGCCACAAACTCTAATTTTCGAATCCCTATATCTAAATAACTTCTAATATTTCAAATTTAGATCATTTGATCAAACAGAATTCATTTTGTGAAGTTGTGTTGCAAATTTACAGTGATTTGAAAATCAGATTTTGTGGCAAAGGCTCAATTCCTTCGGATTTACCCATAACCAAGTATCTCTTTCAAAAATAAAAAATAAACTTTTCTCTAAAAGGAGATATTTCTTTTAAATATGAAATCACTGTATAATTCAGTTAAACGATAGAAAGAACTTTCTTTTTATTAGATAAACAAACAAAAACAAAAAAATGTCAGGTTACGTTAGTTGGTGGTGTAATGGCCTATTTAATTCTAACACTGCGTGTCAAAAATGGGCTGTCGTGGTTTGTAACTATAATGTCTCTTGTAATTAATTTGATAAAATGAATAAAGAAATTTTGCCACAAACTCTACTTTCTAAATTCTATAACTTTTCAACCCAATGTCGTAGACCTTAGATTTGTCAAACTATGAATTATAATAGATCAAATAATCTAAGTTCAAAATGCCAAAAGTACCATCAGGTGGAAAAGATATAGATTTAGGAGAAATTTGAGTTTGTTGCAAAGACTAAATTCCATTGAAAAGTCGAAAATAAGATATTTTTTAATAAAATGAAATGATTATTAAATAATTAGATCTACACGAAGGCACGAGATTGCCGGTGTACTCTATGACACGAACGTGCTTGGGTTTAAGGGACCGAGAAAAATGACAGGTGAAGTGTTTCAAACTTCCGGGATTAATTTAGATCCGTAAAGACTAAAGGCCTTCCGGAACCTTTCCAGAAGTTAAGCGGTTCAGTGTGATAACCCATCAAATTTTGGGAATTAAGTGCAGAACCTTTTTTCAGCATGTTTTTCTTTTATTTTATAAGAATTATTTTTTTTTTATATACATAATTAAGCATTATCTTGTTTACACCTTGAATAATGTATATATGTATATATACAAACATATATATATATATATATATATATCTAAATAAAACAAATTCATGAAATGATTGATCATTTTTCTTTGAATAGTTCAGATCTGTCAAAAAACCTTTAAAGCAACTAAAAAATAATAATAATATACAATTTTATAATGTAAATAAAAAGTGTTTTTTCCTAAAACCATACGCCTGAATTGCAGTCTAATAAAGATGTCACAAAATGTCATCTTTTTTTCATGACTGCAGTTTAAGTATTCTTCACCAAAAAATTTTTCTTGAGTCTTTACCACAAAGTCTGATTTTCTAATCTTTGCAACCTGATGTTGTAAACATTATATATTTCAAACTATAAATTCTGTTAGATCAAATAATCTAAGCTTGAATTGCCCAAGGTTCACAAAATCAGGTTTAAAAGATATTAGGATTTGATTTTGTGGCAAAGACTCAATTCCTTTGCTGTTAGATGTAAATAAACTTTTTATTTAAAAATTTACTAGTGGAACAGGACTAAATATACAATATACATATATTCTTTAAAGGCCTCAAAAAGATGTGCACAATTTTATTTTTGACAACCAACTTTCGGCAGTTTTTAGAACGCATTTAAACATTAACGTTAAAACCATAACAATAACAATAACAATGTAACATTAAATTTAAAAAATAACATTAAAAGATTCGCATTTAAAAACAATTAAAATAAAAAGTTAAAACCTTAACATTGAAAAAATAACATTAAAACATCAACTTTATAACACGGAAACGTTAATATTAACACTAACAAAAAAAAACATTACAACATTAACATTAATACAAAAGTATACTTCAAAAATATACTGGCCCCCTGACCTTTCTATGGTAACCCAATTTTTTCAAATATTTTATCAACTCCACTTTCATTTTTTTGATTTTTTTCCCAGATTATTTTGAATCAGTAAAAACATTTTTAAATTTTTAAACCATTAAAGTTTTTGAAAATTAAGGGCGGAACCTTTCTTAACCGAACTAAGAATGATTGAATTTGTCTCCGGCCTTTGACACACAGAGATATGTAATACATGCACAAAAATGGTACGAGAACGAGACTCTTATTTTATATCAGTTTTATATGGAATATTCGTTCTGTAAACGTTTTTAGCCTGTCACACCTAGATATGTACGTTTAGAATAAACAAGTATTTTTTAACTGTTAAGAAAGGTTCTTCTATTAATTTTAGACCTACGTAGTATTATGAACCGTGTTTAAAATGTCGTCTTAAAATAAAATATTTTTCTGTTTGAAGGAGATTCTGAACGGCCTCCTTCATCAACTAATAAAAATATCAAAAATGGAGGGAAAAAATCTTTCGATAAACGACCCGCTTCTTCTCATGGAAATAGGTAATTTTAAAAGGTTATTTATTTTAATAAACAAAAGAAGTTACTAATTTATACCGAAATATTTCAAACAGTATTTATTAATATTTAAAATATACCAATTATATATAAATCAAGAGTTATGCCACCACACAATTTGGATTTAAATAAAGGATTCATAATAATAATCAGGAATCATGAAATAACTGAGTTTTTACCCCAATTTCATCTCAAATTTCTAATCCCTATATCTTTGCAACCTTTGATGGTGTAAATATTTCATATTTCTAAATTAGAACAGAACTTGATGTAATAGAATTCAAAGTTTATATGTCCTTTTCACATGTTTATTTTTTTAATCTATATATAAATTTGGCTTGTCTGTCTGTTTTGGTGTTTGTTTGTCTGTCTGTTTGTTTGTATCCAATAAACGTCAAAACGGCTGAACCGATCGGGCCCAAATTTTTTGTGGGACATCTAGGGACCCCAGGGAAGGTTTATGAATGATCAAAATTTCAAATATTTGTCTCCATCAAAATTCGATCGTAAATAAATTTTTGAAAATTTTGAAAATCCACGAAATTTTTTGTGTAAATCCACGAATTATTTTTGTTTTGTTTTACGATGTACTCAAAGTCAATTTGGTAACTTTACAAAACTCACAATTTTGTAACTTCACAAAAATCACAATTTCGTTACTTTCCCAATTGGAAATAACAATTTTCTAATTTCAGTATTCCTGTTCCGACGAGCGGGTTGATAATGGGACTAAACTCAGATAATGAAGATGATGAATCTTCTCCAATCAATAATATCATGTCACCTACTGAGGATGGTGCTCCAACTGTACCCATAAAGGATAATGGTAATTAAGATCATAATATTCATAATTACGGTTCCAGACTTTTAGAGGTGCTCATATATATAAATACGTCAACACATTCTTGCCGTTAAATCGCTTTTTAATCGGTATTTTGCATAAAATTGTTAACAGTTGCAAACTTGGCACAAAGGATTTATTTACTATAGGTAAATTTTAAAATTTTTAATTAATTCTTGCAGACACCGATTTGCCTAAAGTTTACTATATCACACTTTTTTAATTGTGAAAAAAAAACTTTACAGTTAGGCAGGAAGGAGTTGTCCCATTAATTGTAGTATCCTTATAATTTTATTTTCCATAACATAACAACAGTTATACATTTCAAGAAAATAGGAATTTGTGGAATTCCCCAAATATCTGGGTATTTGGTAAATTTCCTAAATAGCTAGGAATTCGAGAAATTTCTTTATAAATGAAAAATTTCCAATATACCCAAATTTGCAGGTGGTAAATTTTTGAAATTTTTGAAATTTCCGAAATAACTTGATATTTGGGAAATTTTTCAAAATGACTGGCTATTTGGGAAATCTTTCCAAATACCCAGACATTTGGGGAATTCACCGTATAGCTGGTTATTTAGGAAATTTCCAGTTTTGATTCTTTTTATTTTGCTCCCTCTTATTTTCATATTTTTATCATTTCTCTTAACACCCCCCCCTTTCCCCTACCTGGTTTGCTCTCTAAAATATCTCCCCCCCCCCTCCACCATCACTCCTTCTCTCTGGAATCTCCTCCCCCCGAACCCGCAGTATCGTATTCTCCTAAGAACTTGCTCTGAACCAGTGTCTAGCAACCATTATATACTCACTAAACACAGTGACAACAGAGCAACCAACCTAACAATATGTTGTCAATACGAACATTTATTTTAGATATAAATATATTGATCTGGAATAAAGAGATATAAATCTGAAACTAAAGATAGATGATCTTGAATTATTAAATTGTGATCATTAAAAAATGTCCAAAAATGTAAAGGCATCTTACTGGTCCATTCAAATAGATTTTATAGATTTTATGACATAATATTGTATGTGATTTATCTCATCGAATTAACCCTGAGAGCGGAAAAAATACGATAAAAAGTATAATATGAGCAATTGTTATCTTAACATAGAGTTTTTAAAGAAATCTCATATGACTTTGTTTCCTACAAGGAAGACGACTTTCTATTTCAGTTTTGATTTATATTAAATTTAATAGAGATAGAATTAGTTTACTTATTTAATGATATTAAATCGAATAACGATAAAATTAATTAAAGTTTTAAATTTATTTTACTGTTTGGGGTATGTAATCCTGAAAATATAATGTAGTTAAAAAAATTCAGATTGTTAAATATTTAAGATTTAATAATTTTAGACTGAGAAAAATAAAAATATTATCGCAAATCTCAAGGCAAAGTTTATTTATCAACCAAACACCATAACATTGTTGAATTTAAAAAGCTCAACAACAGATCAGAATTCCAAGGTTTATCAGGATGCTGTTAGGTGAGAATATAGAATATAGATATATATCAGACCTTTTTTAAATAATTTGTTTTAAAATGTTTTTCCATAAAATAGTATTGCTACTGTTTCCAATCTCAAAATTCACAATAAAAGCAAAAAAGGAATTGAGTCTTTGTCACAATTTCAAAATTTATAATCCCTTTATCTTTGCCACCTGATGGCGTAAACCTTTGAATTTTAAAACTTAGATTATTTGATCTCACAGAATCATAGTTTGATATGTCTAAGGTTAACGACGTTGGGTTGCAAAGCTATATGTATTAAAAAATCAGAGTTTGTGACTTTCACTTGATAAGAAAACTTAAATGATAGAAGATTTAAACACTTCATGGTGGCTGCAGTCTTAGTCTTGAATATGCACTGCTGAAAGGAATAATATCTAAAAAAAAACACTATTTAATAAACATGGTAATAGAGTGACGAATTCGAAATTGTCTTTGTTAAGAATTAGCATTGTATTACCTGTTTTAAAAAGTCGTTATATAATTACTTATACTAGAGTTAATTTTCTGAAAACTGGAAAAGGATGTAATGACGTGTCTGTAATGTCTCTGCAAGATATACAGCTAGTTCACAGGAATATTCTTCTAAACTCTAGCAGAATTTCAATCCTACAAATCACAGATTTCTCTGTATAGGTCGAATAACTTTAACAAATCAAAAATAATTATTAAAATCCATCTCGATATCGTCATGCAAATTCCATGTTTATTGCGACACCCTGTATCATGTGTTTAAGATGACAAAAGCGACAAGACTGAAGAAAGATTATGTAAAACATACCATAAAATTGTATTTACTTTATTTTTATTAAAATTCCTTCGATGATATCTAGTGAATCTAAACGTTAAGTTTTAACTGGAAAATTTCTAACATCGTTGTTTTATTTTAGCTGAAGAAGAGGAAACTGGGATTGATCCTGATCAGGTTCGTACTCCTTTAAAGCAGAGGCCCACACAGCCTCCTTTTGGATTTGTGAAAAATATGATTTACAGGGGATTTTCAGACCCCAACGGAAACTTAACCCCCCAGATTTCTGTGTTTGTCCCTGCTTTCAAATATCGTTAAAATATCTAATATAGTATGGATATAGATAATCTAGTATTCAGTCTAATAACCTGTCTCCTCGCTGCAAAAGAATTGATTTCATGAACATATTTTCCTCTCTACCAGTTAAAAATAAGCTCCCCCCATTTTTTGATTGATTTTCTGCAGTTCATCACTGAACTTCGACGATGGGTTTTATACTAATATCCAAGAATCTCAGTTATTGTAGAAACAAATAAATAGCCATTAAATATGCAGGAAGAGTTTTAAAGGGCTCCATACATTTGATTAATCAAAAACTTATCTGCAGTATTCCAATTTAGGTTTAGAAAACGATATTCTATAAATTCTTGTAATGTCTCCCAAGTTCTGGGTTCTTGTTAAGCTGTAGCAAAAAAATGAATTAATTATTAACAAAAAATGAGATTCCTAAGGTTTATAGCATGATATTAAGAATATTTATTACAAATCTAGGAGTCTGGAAAGGCGGAGTTAGATCAAATGGTGACAGAAGTTTTAGAGAACCTTGATGCATTCGTTCTAGAAGCTGCACCACAGGTATTTATAGTTCTAGAAGCTGCACCACAAGTATATATTGTTTTAGAAGCTGCACCACAGGTATATATTGTTCAAGATGCTGCACCACAGGTACATATAGTTCTAGAAGCTGCACTACAGTTATATATAGTTCTCAAAGCTGCACCACAAGTATATATTGTTCTAGAAGCTGCACCACAGGTATATATTGTTCTAGATGCTGCACCACAGGTATATATGGTTCTAGAAGCTGCACCACAGGTATATATAGTTCTAGAAGCTGCACCACAGGTATATATAGTTCTAGAAGCTGCACCACGGGTATAGATAGTTCTAGAAGCTGCACCACAGGTACAGATAGTTCTAGAAGCTGCACCGCAGGTATATATAGTTCTAGAAGCTGCACTACAGTTATATATAGTTCTAGAAGCTGTACCACAAGTATAGATAGTTCTAGAAGCTGCACCACAGATATATATAGTTCTAGAAGCTTCACCACAGGTATATTTAGTTCTAGAAGCTGCACCACAGGTATATAGTTCTAGAAGCTGCACCACAGGTATATAGTTCTAGAAGCTGCACCACAGGTTTATATAGTTCTAGAAGCTGCAACACAAGTATATGCAGGTCTAGAAGCTGCACCACAAGTATATATAGTTCTAGAAGCTGCACCACATTTATAAATAGTTCTAGAAGCTGCAAACGTCGGATCCAAATTAGCTTAATTTTTTTGATGGAATCCATAGGTAGCCCATGACGTTGAAAATAAAAAAAAATCTAAAATACAAAATTACTGTAAAAGTAAATGTTTCTAAATAAGAAGTTTTGATTGCACTATTAATTAAATGTGGTAAATATAAATCATATTAGAGAACAAAAAAATAAAGTCGATTGTAAGGAAAATGAAGATTACATCAACAAAAGACCAATTTTACTTTTTATGGAAGATATCTGGGGTGTCTGTTTTTTTCTGTTACAGAATCAAAACTAAACTATAAAATGTTTAATTGTCTTTTAATACCAAAGAAAGGGACCCCTTGGAGCAGATATAATCTTTTCAAAGAGATTATTTTTTCATTTAGAGAAAATCTAATCATCAAGTAAATTAAATATATTTTCCATTCTTAAGAAAAGATTTGATTATGAAAAAGGTAAAAATGGATATTTATATAGTTTTAGATATTTATTAAAAATGTCGGGTACAGCCTGGGATCCATCCCTTCTTCCTTCAGAAACAAATTCTACGTAGGTTTCATACTTGATGCACTGCATAGTTATTCTTACAATCATTCAGGCAGTAATAAAAAATATAAAAGGAATTCATGCCACAAACTCTGATTTTCAAATCCCTTTATCTTTGCAAGCCGACATCCTAGACCTTAGATATTTCAAACAATGAATTTGTTAGATCAAAAAATCTTAGTTTGCAATATTAACAGTCTGCACCATCAGGTTGCAAAGATAGGGATTTTTTGTAAAACTGCTCAAATCCACCTTGCACTAGCTCTTTATTTTTAACTCGTTGATACAACTTTATAGCTCTATAACATTTGGATTTTTTTTTTTTAGTTTAAAACTCATTTAGATTTGTGTAAATCAAATTATTAATATGTAAGGTAGAACACAGATCGTCATAAGAAATTATGATCCGGGTATCAAAATATCCGTTCAAAAAGTTTAAAATCGTAAAAATCTCTTAGAAATAAATCAAACTACGTATTAGCAAAAAACCCGGGTTAGTATTAAATCAAACATTATTTTGGAATATCAAAAAACGGACAAATGGACATTATTCAGTGGTTCAAGACACATCTTTTGATACCCATATCAACACTTTAATTTTTTTTTTAAATCTACCCTCCTATATGCTATCCATGTTTTTTCTTAATGAGTATATAGTTCAGCATGAGTATATAGGCATAGATACATTGATACATTGGCATGAAATATGCATCTGCATGAGTATATAGGCCTTGTTACATCGATACATTGGCTTGAAATATACGTCTGCATGAGTATATAGGCCTTGTTACATCGATACATTGGCTTGAAATATACGTNACGTCTGCATGAGTATATAGGCCTAGATACATCGATACATTGATACATTGGCATGAAATATACGTCTGCATGAGTATATAGGCCCTGATACATCGATACATTGGCATGACATAAACGTCTGCATGAGTATCATGAGTATATAGGCCTAGATACATTGATACATTGGCATGAAATATACGTCTGCATGAAATTAATTATAAAAAGAAGACATCAGACTATATTTAAAATCCTAAAGACTCAAGGGACTGTCTTTGTAATTTCAAGTGACCTTCAATTTACAAATAGAGTCACATCCTTTTCCCTACGGTACCCTCTCAACCTTTATCTGATCAACAATTTTGATTTTCCGACCACATTCTCTTTAAATCAACAATAACGTTGGTTGCTTGATGCAATACTATTCAAATTTGCTTGAAAAAAAGATTAAGATTTTAAATTTATTTAATCAGAAAAAGGCTTATTCTTTCTTTTTAATAAGTTTTTAACAACTTTTCTGTTACGAACTACAAGTTTGATAAATATCTTATTAATAAAGTTAGTGCCTAACAATGATTTTTTTTATGTAAATGCAATACGTTGAAATTGTTGATGTTAAAAAATTTAAAATAAAATATCTATAGATTTTTAACCTCGGTTCTTTTCGATCTAAGATAGGGTTCATATCCAGAGCAAACGCAGATGACGATGAAGAAAACTTTTTTTAAAAAAATTAATGATATGATAATCTGTGGTTTTGTTATACTCGGATTAGATTAAAAAATATACTAATGAGAAAGAATTTTGCAGATTTGACTCACTTCTGTCTTCCAGTACTCAGTGTTAGAACTGCACTGCAGTCCAAATCGCAGTTTGGAAGTAATGTTCCCTGTAATTCACATATGTAAAAATGAATATTATATAATTCACTGGGTCAATTTGTAGCTGAAAACTGTATCCCGTACGATTTATAAAGTTCCATCCATTTTGCCATGCAAATAACTGAAGAATCTCTTATCGTAATATTTATTTGTTTGCCATTTTTTTAATGAAAGTTAATTCTGTTTTTAACTTTTATTTCCTTCTACAAGTATACCTTCTTTTCCCTTTTCTGCTTTCTACCATTATTCTATCTTTATACTTTTCCTCCCTAATCTACTCTGTTATACCTTTCATCTCCTTCTTTCTTCTCTTTGCTTTTCAACTTTGAGGGAATGTTTTAATATTGATTAGTTAGTTTCTAAACAAACCTAAATCATGCAATCCAACCCTTCGTATTTGATAAATATTGACCCATAGAAATCGATCAAGCAGAACTGGAACGAACTGTGGAACTAATATTAGGCGATTTTTTCCATGTAGCGGAGATTAAATATTACGACAATGTTACATTTAGCATTTTTATTCCGGTTGCTCTTCTTCCTTCCAGTGCTCTTCTTTCTTCCAGTGCTCTTCTTCCTTCCAGTGCTCTTCTTCCTTCCAGTGCTCTTCTTCCTTCCAGTTCTCTTCTTCCTTCCAGTGTTCTTATTCCTTCCAGTGCTCTTCTTCCTTCCATATGTTTTGCACGTTTGTTGTAATCACATTAAGCTTTTCTATAATATTTTTTTTTATTTATATTGTCCATTTATAGAGAGTTAATAATTTACCTCGATTTTTTCACATAGGTGTTATCACGCTTTAAATTCCTAGAGAATAAAATGGCATGCGTACAACATAAATTGTTTTGCCACCAGTATTACTCACTAGCAATGTAGTAAACACCAACTCCATAACAATCTCTCGAGGCGTATCTATCCATGGTCAGTTCGCTATCAAACTCAACCAGAACTGAATCCCAGGCTCTGAATGCCACACAGGGACACAAGCGTAGCTATCAAAATTCAGCTATAAATGCAGTGCTCTGAATGCCACACAAGCCTTGCTATCAATAAGCTAGGTATATATACCGATCCCGGATGATGGGGACGATCCGCTCTAAATTTCTGACAGGGACACAAGCCTAGCTACAGGGAACAATCGACCTGAATATAAAGACGAAATTCAGGTTTGCTCTCTCGCAGTAGACAGTCCGGAGTTTATCTATCAACTGTCGTGTATTTCGTAGTTCATATTTGAATTTGGGTCTTTAACAGCGTAATTACAAGTTATGCGCTGTTATATATAAAACAATCACAATATGGGTATGTATCTACGTACATGGAATGTGTTGATCGAAATACAGAGTTTGCGTAATTACTATACGAACACGTTACGACATAAATTACATTAGGCCTCAGCAATACCTTAAAATTGCTACCCGGTTATAGCATCCAACCCATCCCTCAAATCACTTTTTCATTCTTGGGAATGACTTGTGAGAATTATAATGAAACCTCCCCCCCATCACATACTTTTTTATCTAGGCTTTGACTTGTGATAATTATGTTGTTTAAAATAACTTTTAAAAATTCGCTGTAATTAAGCTCAAATATTCTTATTAGTCCTTTCCTTTCCTGTCTTATTTTAAATAATATATTATTTGATTATTATAATAGGATGGATGGTATCCCGTCAGCTAACCTGAGGCAGCATAAACTAGATCATCAAAGAAAACTTATTGAAGAGAAACAAAGAAAAAAACGACAGCAGCAGGTTAAACAAAATATCTAACACTTCAATATGTTTCTTTTAAATTTAAAGTTATTTTTCATTCTGTACTGATTAAATTACAATTTGACATAGTTCAACCAATTATTTCGGATTTTTATTCAGATATTATTTGTCGAAACAGATTTTAAAAAGATTATATTTGAACTGGGAGCAGCTTTCATTAAAGAAAAAGGGCAGAATATTATATATGTTATGTTACATTTTAAGTATTTAGTTGTTTCAAACAAGGTAACAGGGATTCTTCATTAAAAAAAATTGTCACACACTTTAATATTCTAATACATATATCTTTGCAACCCAATGTCGCAGTCCTTCGATATTTTAAACTATGATTTCTGTTACATTAAATAATCTAGATTTGTAATTATATAGGTTTACACCATCAGGATACAAAGATAGCAGGATTATAAAATAAATTTGAGTTTGTGACAAAGGCCCAATTCTTCAGGAAAGAAGCATAAGTTAACGTAAACTATTCTCAACAAACTACAGTTTTCTTATCTCTAAACCTTTGTAAACTATTGCAAACTATAGTTTTCTTATCTCTAAACCTTTGTAAACTATTGCAAACTATAGTTTTCTTATCTCTAAACCTTTTTTAACTTTTGCAAAGTATAGTTTTCTTATCTCTTAACCTTTGTAAACTATTGCAAACTATAGTTTTCTTATCTCTAAACCTGTGTAAACTATTGCAAACTATAGTTTTCTTAAATCTAAACCTTTGTAAACTATTGCAAACTATATGACACCTTGTGCTATATAGAATTTATTAGTTTGAAAAAAAAAACAAATGTACACATTAGGTGGCAAAGATGTAAAAATTAGAAAATTTGAATTGGTTGGGAGTAATTTTTTCAATACGTAAAAAGAGTTTTATTTATCTCAACCTAATTATCAAAGCTTAATTTTTGCTAGAAAGAGGGAAATATATTGATGTTTAGATTTCTATATGTATTTCACTGTATACGGTTGAGGAGGTTTATAAAAATCCAAAATGGAAGCTCCCACTTAATTTGAAGTTCAATCTTTATTCATATAAAATATATTTTTAGAATAAAACAATTCAGCTGTCTGATCTAAAATCTGGAAGTGCATTGAGTAAACGTCCCCTGAGCTCTGGTAAAAGAGAACTTCATGGCTATGATGGACCTCTTCAATATCTTTCACAAGGAAACCCAGATTCTATGACAACTGTACAGGTATGGAGTGTATTTCTATCCACAGGGTTTTAAGTTCAAAAAAGAGATTTTTTTCTGAAACAAAAATTTATCTTAAATCCAGAATGACTTTGACCCGATCAAACGCATGTGTACGGAATGTGTACTGTCTGTTATCTCAGGCAGAATACATAATTTAACCTTGGAATTGTCACATTTTAAGAGTTTGCGGTCGTCTTTACAATCTCATCTATGTGGGTAACCCTGTATGTTCTGGATTGTAAGAAGTTCTAACAAGGAAAAAAAAGTCCTAGAAATGTGAAATTATATTAAAACAACGCTGGTGCCATTCATATTTCATTTTCATCATTTCCAGGTAATGCCCACCTTTAGTAAAAGCGCGGATAATTTGATAGATACAGCGGATGGAATAGATAAATCAGATTCTCCACCTAGAAATAAAGGTATAACAAATTAAAAAATTATTTAGTTAGTTTATATATCAAGATTTGACGTAAATGAAAAATTTAGTTTATCTTTTTAAATCAAAAGTACAAACAACAGGCTTGATTAAAAATAAGTAAAATATTTATTTTATGTATAGATATATATATATATATATATATATTTTTGTTTAAAGAATTGTAAC